CTGAGATGGTGAGGGTCAAATTCAAATATGCGGTAAATTGAACACAAACGAGTTACTGATATGTTTGATCTTAACTCGTACATTTAGCCATTATCTTTACTTAATCATTTAACATTTTGATGACAAAAAGTTGATGTTGTTAAGTAGAGAAGCTGGTGAAACATGGGTTTCTGCATTAATAATTATGTGACATGGTGCTACGGTGTGTTTGTTTCTTCTTTTTGGTGAAACAAGGAAAATCTGCTAAAGTTAAATGAAGACACTTTACAGAGAGATGATTTGGGAGCAGCCATGGCATTCCCAATCCCAAGTTTGAGTTACAACTGAATGGTGTCATTTAGTCTCTGTTACAGCAGCAGCAGGACTCAGAAATGTCAGAAAGAGGAGCAGCCAGCATGGTGAGTTATCTGAACCCTGTTCAGGACTTCATGTTGCCATACTTAGAAGGTCTTTGGGGGTCCATTGGACCCCAAGAAAGAATATGTGCAAAATAATTGTTGGTATTCATGATAGACTTTTACACCATGTTAAATATATTTTCTGATCAGTTGACATATTTTTGGCTCCAAATGCATGACAAATGTCCCTCTTTTTCTAAAATAAAATCTTTAAAAATCAAAAAACAATACCAGTCACCTAAACCAAATGGCCTTGGGTCCAAAAGACCCCAAAAGTCCTGAACAGAGTTAAGAAGAAGCCAGGTCAGGGTCAGATCAGTGAACCTAGACAGGTTCAGGGGGACAGTTCTGAGGACAGGCATCCAAAGCAGGACCAGTCCAGCAGCTGTTGCCCATCATCAGCACGAGGTGACATGCAGAGCAGGACAGATAGACATTCCTCAGAGCAAATGAAGAGCAACATCATTTGCTGGAGCCATTATAGCCCTTTATGATTTGATCCAGGTGTCTGATGGATGGATAGAATGTCACCAGGTGCTTGGTGTTGGGCACTGAATGGGTGTTTGCCAACTCCACCTTTTTTGTGAGCCTGATTTACTCACAGGAGACAGGTGATGGGAATGAGCTGGCAGGAGTGGTAGGACACCAGTTTTTTGACCGTAGTCTCATACGAACATTATGTAATCTTTCTTTTTGAATATAATAAAGGGGACGAAGAATAACTGCCTACACGTCAGAACGTGAATATCTCCTGTCATCAGCTCATCATCAAGCTCTGATAGCGATCCTGATCATTTGAATCAGGTGTGTTGGAAGAGGGAAGCATCTAAAACATGCAGGATTGCGGCCGTCCAGGACCAGGATTCGACACCCGTGGTCTATGCTAAAGAGTGCCAGGAGGTGACGCCTCTGCCTCCACCAATCCGGTCGCTATAAAGCCACAACGTCATTACGTCACGCCAGACGACGACAGAGGGCAACATGGCGGCGCACAGCTGGTCTCCGCCGCTCAGCAGGCTGCTGTCTACCGTGAAGGTGAGCCAACCACCACCCATGTATGCTTTCTAACAGGAACCTCCTGACGACACGGAGGGCAATGTAAACATAACGCAAACAGAGATTTTCTATCACGTGGGGAAAATATGTAAAAAAGGTTTGTAGGCAGAAACCTTGACATGAAAACGTGGTGGTTTCGAATGAGATTGTAAATAAAGTGCAGCTGCGACGCAGACAGGCTGTCCTCCAGCTGGTTCAGTTCAGATGTTTTGCTCCCAACAACCAGAACTCTGTCGTCTCCGACTCTGTTGACTCTCGGCCAGCAGTTGGTCAGTTAGGGACGGTGTCAGATGTTACTTCGGATGTAGGCTAGGTTCGGACGACCTGCCCTGGTCCAGTCAGGGACAGGACGGACCAGGACGGACCAGGACACAACATTTATTAAGTCCTCATCCCCTTCTTGCACCAGATTGTACGAACCTTTGTGACTGAACAATATTTTTCTGTGAACAGAATAAACGTACAAAATCTCTCTGATTCAACTAAAACAAAACGTTTCTAAGAAGCCTAACTTTGTTGCGTTAGCACCTATAACAGTGAGGTGAGAGCCCTGGGCCCTGCAGGAGCCTCCATTGTCTGTTAGTGTGACAGCACACTGTTGGATCAGACTGGACACAAAGGTACCTGGCATGTACTGAGCAGTAGTGTCTATGTGAGGATCAAAGTTTGTGACTTCAAGGTCTTTTATTGGTCACAAACACAGTTATACATG